AATAATCAAAACTCCCCTGATGTTGGCTTGGTGGCCTAAGAGACATGCTATCCACTTGAACAAAGAAACATCGATTCCCACTCACCGACAACTCAAAGAGAACTCAGCATACAAGTGTCTCACCTAAAGGGAAATGCAACTCTCTGAAATCAAGGCATTATCCATAATGAAGAAATGGCAAGAAAAATGGTGGAAGAAAAATCTCGGCCATGATTGGGCGAGCTTAAGGGAATAGAAAAGGGCATTACCGTTGGGCCTCCAAAAAGCAAGGCAATTTGATTGATTTTGGATTTGATCCATTACTAGCCAAAAACGGGAAAACTTACAAGTTTTAGGTAGTTTCAATAAATATACACAAGACTAAACAAGACATAGAACGACAAGAAGTAAATTAAATTGGAAAACGAGATCTTAATATGAATAGATTTTGACCAACACCTAACATAACTATTGAGACACTAATACAAACAAAATCCTAATAGTCATGTCTAAATAAGAAGCAGAAATATAGATAACAATAATTGTGAGTAGTAATTCACACTAATAACAATCATCTAATCCTTAAGGATAAACACCAAACCCATAAAAGAAGAAAGATTGATTCCTAATCGCCAACACATCAAAGAGAAACCACCACACAAGTGTCTCGCCCAAATAGGAAGTGTGCCTCCCTAACATCGAAGCATCATCATTGATGAAGATTTGGCGAAAAGGATTGTGAAAGAAGAATCTCGGCCATAATTGGGTGAGCTTCAGAGAAAAGAGAAGTGTGTTATCATTGGGCCTCAAAAAAACAAGGCCACTTGAAAGAAAGTCTTGGAATGAAGCGCTAACAGTTCCAACGCCACGACTGATTTTGGTATTCATCCAGCACTAGCCAAATACGGGAACACTTAAATTTTAGCAAGATTCAATAAATATACACAAGACTAAACCAAAAGTAGCATGGCAGAAAATAAATTAATTTGCAAATAGAGAACATAGTGCTAATTGACTTTGTCTAAAACCTAATATAGTCTTTGATAAATTAATAAAAACAAAGTAAAAATCATGTCTAAGAAGAAGAAATGCATATAGTATGCAGCTAAAATATTGTTGTGAGCAGTCATTCATCATTATAACAATCTTCAAATCCTTAGAAATCTTTCAACAAGGATAAGCATAACCTTCATTGAAGAGGTTTATCACTTTAGCAAAGCAAACACACAAACACAAAAGTAAGTAAAGAAACCCAAAATTCAATTTCACATTCATTTTTTCATGCTTGAAAAGTGCAAGGGATTCGTATATATAACAACTCAAGGACAAAACTGCCAACCATCAACTTTCAAAGAAGTGATGAAGTGAAAGAGACGTGGTGAAGTCAGAAAATTACGGTAGAAAAGCAAAAAGGTGGTTAAAAAGTTGAAAAAAGATGGTGAAGAAACTAGAAGAAGGTAAGACATTCACGCACTACCACCCCCATCATCGATCTAAGCATTGTGTGGTAACAAAAAGCCTACGAAACTGCCAATACACATAATTTGACACATAACATGGCCCACAACACAATCCATAATACAATAAAATGATTCAATAACACATAGCCCAGAGTACACCATAGCAGGAAAAAAGTTCAGCAAAATGAAAAGACATCCAGAATAACAAGTATGCTACTTTATGAGGTGACAAAAAAAAATGATGGCTACAACGCCCTGCATCAAGTGAATGCTAAATTCAATCGAAAGGGCCAAATTAACAATACAAGTAATATTAAAAGGTTAGGTCATCAAGCTTGAGAAACTTCATTAAAAACCATATGTATACAATATGATATGGGCAGTATTGAGACATGCCATAGAGAATGATAAAATATATGTAGCATGATCTCTACACATGTGAGGCACACAAAGATAAAGAACACCATCCCATGCATTCCAAGATATGTAACAAACCATTAAAATAATTTCAAATGCATAAAACATCAAAAATAAGTATGTATTTTTCAAATAAGCTCAGCAATCAAATAATAAGGTAATTCAACAATATCACAGAGGCACACTGCTAATAAATCGTCAATGAGCATGTTAAGATAACAATAACTTATTTATATAATAATTAGTCAAAACCTACAAAAGCATGCACTAACAACATTGCATATATGTCGGTCAACTTTTTTATTATTTAAAAGTATGAAAAATAATTTTTGAGATTTAATTTAAATATAAGAAGTATACGGTTTGGGTTTTGAAAGTAGTGTGTTTTAATTTTTAAAAAATGTGACCAAATGGATCTCATTCGTCCAATAGTTTGCATAATCATGTCCGATACCGTGAATACTACACTTTTCTGAAAGATAAGTATAGACCTCGGTGATAGACTCAATCCTGCAAACTAAAAAATTTATTATATTTGTTTGGTCTGCGACCTTTTTATGTGTGACCGACAAGTTCCCCTATCCAATACAAAGATTAAATCGTCAATGAGCATGTTAAGTTAACAATAACTTATTTATATAATAATTAGTCAAAACCTACAAAAGCATGCACTAACAACATTGCATATATGTCGGTCAACTTCTTTATTATTTAAAAGTATGAAAAATATTTTTTAAGATTTAATTTAAATATAAGAAGTATACGGTTTGGGTTTTGAAAGTAGTGTGTTTTAATTTTTAAAAAATGACCAAATGGATCTCATTCGTCCAATAGTTTGCATAATCATGTCTGATACCGTAAATACTACACTTTTCTGAAAGATAAGTGTAGACCTCGGTGATAGACTCAATCCTGCAAACTAAAAGATTTGTTACATCCGTTTGGTCTGCGACATTTTTATGTGTGACCGAAAAGTTTCTCTATCTAATACAAAGATTAAATAGAGTTTATTTTACCTGGATTTCAAGTTCCCTAAAGAAGCAAACCTCTATAGTTAATTACATTTCAAATGACGGGGGTCACTTGGGAAAACTCTCGATAATGATCAGAGGTACTAGTCTTCAAGAATTCAAAGTTTAGATTTTCACGGTAGGACGTAGAAAAGCAAGAGGGAGTGGCTCAAATAGGAACAATTATTTTCAGGAGTCCAAAGGAAGGAACAGGTAGGGGATGTTACAGATCCTGAGAAGAAACCTCAGTGACTTCACAGACTATCCTACCCTACTGTGTGGCTGTGTTTTGAAGAAGATGTTATTTGAGTGTTCAATCCTATCAATTTTATTATTTAGGACTTACACTTGCATAGTAACTGGTTATACAAATAGCCCGCAGAGATAATAAGTTTTACGTCGTTCTGGACGACAACTTCGGAACCTAAGGCGAGTTAGGACTTATACTGCTCAGTATGACTGTGCAGGAGCCTAGAAGAGGATGAGGATTTACGTCGCGTTAAGCGAGCTACCTCGAAGTCCTATGAGTTGTTTAAACGCTAGAAAGGGATAATGCTGACTGGTGAAGACGTTTAACTGGTGAAGACTTGTTTTGCTATTGTAGAATGACGACCACCTCCACTTGTAGTTTGCTTCAAACTCCTTGTCGCGCTGCCCAAAATTCCTCTCCAAATTCCTTGTCGAAGCAGCAGTCCTAAAGTCCAAGGTTCAAAAGGTTGTATCATGTATGTTTCAATGTCTCAATTGTGTTGTAATTATGGGGGGTTAAAGTTGATTAGAGCGACACTGGTTAGGATCTCACGGTCGTCTCATTCCGGTATCACTATTTTCTTTTGAATTTACTTAGTCTAAATGAGTTATTAGTTTAAATGAGTTGTGAAACTCATTTAAATCGGGGAGATCTCATCAGCAACTGTGGGTTACCTCTTCCGAGGGACTCCCGTAAATTCGAAAGAACGTGTTATATTTTGTTTTTTGTTTTTTTGAAATGTTTAATTTTGAAAAATCATTTTGTTTTGAAAGTGAAATTGTATTCAGTACCTGCATAATGTGTGAGCAAGAGTAATTGCAATGAATAAACAACAACAAATAAAATGTACATGTGTACGTGACGTATCTGCTGTTGTTATCCCTGTTGCATGTTTAACTCACAAACACAATATAATTTACAGGGAATTTAAATAAATTGCAGGAAAAAAAGAGAAAACAGTAAGTAGTAGAACAAGTCGTAGCAAAAGCTAGGAACTCCAAACAGGTGATCCTAAGGTTTTCTACAACTGCTGACTGCAACTAACGAGCTAGTACGGTGATCCTACGACCTCCTACGGCTCCGGAAAACAACTAGCAAGTGTGTATGGTGATCCTACGACCTCCTACGGCTCCGGGAAGCAACTGACAAGTGTGTACGGTGATCCTACGACTCCGGACAGCAGCTAGGAATTTCTAATAACGCCTATATGAGTTCCTATGAACCCAAACAGCAATGGGCAGCACCTATGCGGCTTCCTACGAACCCGAACAGAGGTGGGCAGCAACTAGATGACTTCCTATGAACCCAAACGGTGGTGGACAGCTCCTAGGTGGCTTCCTACGAACCCAAATAGTGGTGGGCAGCAACTAGATGGCTTACTACGACGCCGGGCAACGGCTTTGGAGCCTTGGACAGCACCCTATAGCACTCCTACGACACCGGGCAGCGACTTGGAGCTTTGGACAGCACCATAAAGTGCTCTTATACTCCAAACAGTGGCTTTGGATCTTTGGACAACAGCCCACAGCACTCCCAGCAATTTTCAAGTACTTTCCAGCATTCCTAAAACGACTAAAAATTACTTGAAACTCTCCAAACAACTCAAGCAGCAAGACATCTATCAATTACATTTGGCCACCCCTTTCAACATAAGCAGCGAATTGCTTTGCAATTGTATGTATAGCTCCTCAATAAGGTCCGCTAAACCTGTGTACCGACAGCTTCATAGTGAGATAGAATACCAGAACTATAATGCAGTAAATACAATTGTCCCACCTAACAACCTAAACCAACAGTAAGAATGCATTCCTGTGGAGAGGATTCCATTTCAATTTTATGTAAACAATTTGATAGCTATAAGATGCAATAGCTGGAAGAATATACCTGTCCTTACCTTACTTCGACGCAGCAGGAACACAGCAAGAATGAAAAGGAATGGGAAAGGGAGGTAGCTGGTCGCTGGCGAGAAGAAGGCCAGCAGCTTCAGTCGAGTGAGGAAGAGATTCGGGCGCTTCTCCTGCGTGAGTGAGGAAGAGGGAGGTCGAATCGAGCTAGATGCCGCGTGAGAGGAGGACGAGGGCCTCGATGGGAGCTTCCGAACAGAGAGGTCGAGGGCTTCGGTTCGTAAATGAGCGGAGGCCGAAACTGCCGGGCGAGGAAGGAGTTCTGGTCGCACGAACGAAGAGGACTGGGGAACTTCTGTCGCGCGAGAGAGGGTAGGAGGCGAGAGTTTCTATTCGTTCGGTCGAGCACGAGCGGGAGGAGCAGGCGAGTGGGATTTTCGGTCAAGTGGTAGAGGCGCAGCAGATGCTTCGATCGGGAGCTGCGATCGAGTCGCAGAGAGGAGCAGGTGAGACGAGTGGGGGTCTTCGGCGCGAGAAGGAGGAGATCGCGCGAGGGGGAGGCGCGGCAGGGGGAGGGCTCGCGGTGCAGAGAGAGAGCAGTGGGATCTTGTATCCGGTTAATTGCAAAGGAACGTTACGGGATATTGGGGGCGGAATTAATTAGTTTTCATGATTGAGAAATCTAAATGTAAAATTAATAACAACTTATTATTTTTAATTAAGGCAAATTTACATAATTCCTTTGACTTTTGAAGTTTGAATTTCAAATTCAGTAGAGCTGGTGCCTAGCCCGAGTCCAGCCTAAATTGAACCCAAGTCGAACCTAGGTTGAGCTTGGGCCCGCATACCGCTAAAAAAAATGTGTATCGATATTCGTGTTAGTCGCTCGCGTGTAAAACTATAACAATGCAGGTGTCCTTCCTGGCTAAAGTCGACATCCCGGACGCATCCGTGCGGTCCGATTAGTCATCCGGGGTCATCTGAACGAGTTTGATGCCGGTCAGGCAAAAAAATGTGTCCACTTTGTGTGTGGTGTAGCGAGTGCGTTGCTAAGTCACAGAGGGTTCACCTAAGGCCATATGATCATGTATGAACTCATTTTCGGGTCATTTACATGTTGGTTCTTTTGCCCTTGCAAGTAGAAGTTGAGTGATTGGAACCACTCATGCGAGTTCTTCACAAAACTGAGTCAAAAAGGGGTTTGAAGTTCTACGGGATGTGGGTTCCATTACTAGTATGCTAGGATGGTCAACAAGGAACTCCTAAGGCTAGATTATGGGTTCTGGGAGTAGGAGACTAAGATCTCACTAAAAATGAGGTTCTCACTAAAATGAGGTCAACAATATATAAAGAAATATTGCAATTAAGTTTAAACGGCTTACCTCAAATAAAGAAAATGTCATTTAAAACACTGTTCATTGCTTCATCTCTCCTAACATCAATCAATCCTATGAAATAATTTATTTCAAGCAAAACAATTAAAATATGAAATTAAATATTTTGGTCCATATTAGCATTCTATTAATTAATACCCTTCTTTCCTTTCATTTTCACTTTTAGCTCAAAGAAGGAACAAAAAGAATTAAGCAAACCTACAAGATTACCTTCGACCACTAACATTATAAGATTAAGTACTAGGGTTTATTCCTTAACTATTCAAATAAGAACCATTATCAAATTAGACATTAAACTAATCAAATGTACAGCAAAACAGGATTATAAACACTAAAAACATCCATGCATTACATGATTATTTTCCATTAACGGTTATTTTTATAATATTACCCTAATCATAAATTCAACAGAAAATTCTCAACACAGCTGAGGACTCTTTTGCTGCTATATGGTTTTAGTTGAGAGATTCTATTTCTAATTTATGTCAATTGAGAAGAAATTATAACTATGGTTTACAAGTTTAAACAGTATGAACGTAAAAAATTATTAATGACCACCATACTTGCTTCACGAGTCAACCTGAGCAAATATGATGAAGGTAGCCAGCTACAAGCATGATAATGTGCAACTCCAGCCTAAATTGTCTCGACGGCCATACAAAGTCTGTTTGCATGACAAAGTTTGTTTCATGATCGGACGATATTTGTAGAGTGTCGAAGGCGGTCGAGATAATCCATGCCCGAATCGTACATTATCATTCTAGTAGCCTACTACCTTTGTTATATTTGCTCAACTTGACTCATGGAACAAGTATGGAGGTCAGCAATAACCTAATTCAAGATTGCTAACTCAAAATGCACAGCTTTGAAGTTTAAGTTTCTTTACATTAAGCTTGCTCTCACTTAGAATCTTTTCCAGAATTCGTTTACACAATTATAGCAAATTACAGTGAAATTACTCCAAAACTATGTTTCTAATACATAACTAAGATGGGATTTCTTTAACCTTATCCTATGGCATTCCTAAATCTAAAAATTGAAGAAAATTTATCAAATGATTAAGGTACTTTCATTTATTCCATGATCAAACTGTAAATTTTATCAGAATCTTGACTAAACATTATAACTAAAAGTCAAAATTCACTCACCTTAAGTTCAAACTTGCATAAGAATCCCTCTTAATAAATATTTAATTTAGATCAACAAACTGCGCAACTATTTGCTAACTGAAGAAATCCAGATTTGCCAGAGTAGTTCTTGCCTTAAGTTCAAGAAGGAGAACAAGGAATTAAGAGAAGTAAACCTTCATGAAAAATTCCCTCCATCACTACAATTTCTGCATGATAAAGAAATAAAGATTTAAGCACCTAAGCTAAGGCTCCGTCTAGCAATGAATCTAAATGAAAGTAAGTGAAGGAAAAGCCTGCACTCACTCCAGCAAGCCTTCTCGTAGGAAGCAAGTGGTTGAATGTCTCCAACAGTGAACTGAGAAGAGCAGAGGAAGAAGAAGTAATAAAGAAGGAAAGATGTGATAGGGCATCATACCTCTACGTGGAACCTATAGCTCGTCGCCGCCCACCATGACCGACTATCATCTAAGCCAACGCTTCCATGGAACGAGCTCTCGTCCTACACTTCTCAACCTCACCCGCTCTCCGAGGGAAAAAAAAATTGGGTACATAAGACGCATGCAGCGCTGCGTGCGATACCCAATCAGAGGAAGACACATCAGCTTCGTCGGCCCCACCGTAATACAAATAGACATTTTACTGTGCGTGACCTGTCGACCCGACCCGTTATAGTATCTTCCATGTTATCCCGAGTTGTAATCTCCGCTGTCCACCCCCTGTAGCGCGCTTGTAAGCCCTATGTAACCCTGGTATAATATCCGTTGTCACACCCCTATACTGCGCTTGTAAGCCCTATGTAATCCCAGTGTAATATCCGTTGTCACCCCCCTGTAACGCGCTTGTAAGCCCTATATAACCCCGGTATAATCTCCGCGGTATACAAAGGATGTAACCCCGGTGTAAATTCCGCGGTAACGCCCCTGTAATCCGCGCGTACTCTTGTTATACATCCGGTGTAACCTCCGACTGCGCGTGTACACTGGATGTAACCCCGGGGTAAGGTGTAAATTCCACGGTAACGTCCCTGTAACTCCGCGGTCACTCATCAGGATGTACACTGGATGTACATTACTTGTAACACCAGTGTAACCTAGATACTGTACCACACGTGTAACCCGAATGTAATGTCCGTGTAACCCGATTGTAATGTCCATGTACACTGAAAATGCGCATGTAACGTTGATATAATTGCGATGTAACCCTCAAGTAACTCCTTATAACCTATTTACCCTGGTAAAAACTAAAAAATTATAGTAAGAAATCGTATTCGAAAGAAGGGGTTCGCGACGCTAGGGTTCCTCCATCGTGTTCGTTTTGAAGGTTAGGGTTTTTGCTACTGTGAGGGAAGAATGTAATGGAGGATAAAGAGAGTACGAAGACCTTGGAAGAGACCAATGGTGCGGATTTGGGTGAGGGTAACCAACCCGAATACAAGCAGACAACTGTTACAGTGAAGTCCAGCCGCAAACAGTCCAAGAAGGGGGAGAGTCATCCCGTTTCCAGGTATTTATTAGGTTTTTGTAGTTGTTTTCCTTTGAATGATGAAATCTTGTTCATGGTTAAGAAGCACAACAATGATATCGCGTGCAAGGTTTTATACCAATTTTAATACAGTATAAATTATTCTAGGTTTTGATTATTGTGGTTGTTTTAATTTATTTACGGTGAAATGAATTTTAAAGCTAGCATTAATATCGCCAATCAGATATATAGATTTTATTAAACTTCTCTCCTATATTGTTGTAGGCTCTTGAACCCAAAAGCAATTAGTTGCAGATGTCGTCCATCTGCAGTACGAGAGGTTCTCGATAATGTCCGACCAAAAGTTGATGAAGACACATAGCATAAATTGGAATCCTTGAGTTTGGCGCAATTTTTTGAACTCCCTCTGTACCCCCGGGACAATATTCTGACGATGCACATAATAAATTGTTGGGACATTGATCGAATGACATTCATTTTGGGAGGGAAAGGGGTCAAATTTGTTTCTGAGTCAAATTTGTTTCTGATGAAGTTGCATTACTGCTAGGCATGCCCAATAAAGGGTTTCTTGCATGTTGGATCAATGCACAGCTTGATATAATGGATGCAAGACAAATAAAGATCGCCCTACTCAACTTTTCACCAGGGGGGTCATCTCACAACCTTCTGCAATTAATAATCAAATTTTTAATTTCAAATTTATTTTTTCCTTCAAGCAACTTTAGAGTTTCGAAAGAATTGTCTTTTATTTGTGAGAATGTAGATACTTTTGCAGCGTACAACTGGCCAGCAACATTATGTGGAGTTCTGCAGACGCAACTTAATGTTTGTGTAACTAAAATTAAAAAAAAACAACCATTGGGTTACATCAATGGTTTTGTATTTCTTCTATCGGTTTTACATTTTGAAATTTCCCAAAGTGATCAATTTTAAAATAATTCATAATGTTTAACGCAGATCTGGTTTTATGAGCACACTTTCTTGGTCCTCCTAGCATTGCCTCAAGCTAGACCAAGAATGTTGAGGTGGTCAAATGTGAGGTGAAATACTCTGAAGATTCAGGTAGCCTTTGAGAGGCTTAAATCTGCCGAGGTCAGCAATTTAGTTCTTTATTCCATAGAATTTGTTTAGTTCACGTGATACTTTCATTGATTTTGACTCTATGTAATGTCTTGCAGGTTTTTGATTATTTTCTTAAAATTTTAGATAGCGAGCATCATCTCCTTGGCTCTCCATTACAAGAACCATTCAGTCCTGAGAAATATCTCACACAAAAGAACGTCATATCCCAACCACAATCGCCCACATTCATTGGTACTGCTGAGGCTATAGTTTCTTATCGTACCAGTCCTCCACCACATGACGAGAAGCATCAACATACTACCTCTAGTACTGGATTTGAAGAAATCCATGAATTACTCAAAGAATGTCATAAACTGTTCGTGGAATTTCAAATCTCAGTGCTTAATTGTCTTACAGAGCTGGAGAGTACAATGACAGATTTAAAATCAGAAGTTAAAGAAATAAATAAATCTCTAAAACAACCCGTTGGGACATTACCAACTAAAT